TGCGGTGCCCGGGGAGCAGTTGGGGGTTCGGTGCCTTGCTCAAGAAAAGACAAATAACAAAATAATTAACCACCACACTAATGTCCAATTCTGTCCCTTCCCCCAATGAGAGCCAAACTTATCCAGCGACAACCACAGTCTAGCACACTGAACAATCACGCTTCTTTAATGTTTGGATATGTTTGACTCCCGAAGTCTCTGGCTAGCTGCGTTGCATATGCCTAAAATATGCTGAAATAATAGCCACGCTCTAATATATACAACACACACACAAAAAAACTATCGCCAGTGGGTTACTAGTGGGAGGAACAACCCATGGGATAAGTGATGCGCCCCGATGGCAATGCATAAAGACTATTTGTACATTCATTCAAAAATAGGGGAAAGTAGTACCTGGTCACACTTAGATCAGCGGACAGCCATATACCTGCAGGCGCCCTTGCCCCTGGAATACGATCTGTTCGTTTCACAGGACAGACATACAGACTTTATAATGTTTTTACAAATGAGAACTAACAAATGAGGATAATGAGGAGGTTTTGACAGATTTAGCTCACTTCTGGGTACAAATGTGTGCCTAAAATATGGTTTGTAGTACAGACACACACAGTACACTAACCAAAAAGTACCATTGTTTGGCCTCGTACCATAGTAGTATCATGTTATTCTTTGATGAATCAGTCATGGTATAACTCTCAATGCATATAGTATCGGATATCATTACAGTACCATAATATTTATTAAACTTCAGATGTGAGACGTTTGTCTTAATATTTCCTCCACAGACCGCCCTGTCATTAAAGTTAATGCTATGGTTGGAGAAGCAGCAGCTCTTCCCTGCATGTGTCCTCCTGACTGGCCTCCGTATCTGGTCTGGCAGAAATCCATCGGTGATCAGGCACTCGTGGTTAATTACTACAAAGATGACGACCAAGAAGACAACCAAATGGCACTCGAGTACAGGAACAGAACAGAGCTGAGGCTGATAGGAAACTGTTCTCTTGTGATTCATAGTGTGTGGTCATCAGACCAGGGACTGTACATCTGTTACTATAAGAAAAAACCTTTAAGGCATGAAAAAATCTATCTGGAGGTCACAGGTCAGTATCAGCATTTTTTTCGCATTGTACTTGCATATCACATACTCAAATTATGAAGGGAAAGCATATGTTATATGCTTTTATATGCCATTTTTGTGTTCACTTGTTCATTTTAATGGTTCTGTGGTGTAAAATCAAAATATGTAGTCTTTAAAATGATTTAATCTGCATACAAAAAGTGGTTTAAAATAAAATAAATGGAGCATAACATCAACATGTATTTTGTGTCAACTACCTGTTTATAAAATTATGGTTTATAACTTTGCATATTTTTGTTCTTCACATATTAAAACAAATCAAAATAATTTTACATATAAAGTGAACCTCAACATAAACACCAAGATGAAAAGCCAAACATATTGTTTTTAAGTCACTTAATTTGATTAAATCAATAAATATGTTACCATTGATTCTTAATTCAGCACTATGGAAGCTTATTTCCACAATGAAATAAATATTGTAACTTTTTTTTCTTGCAGTTGCATGTTTATATCTCTCAATTCTGAATTTATGTTTTACAATTCTGAGTCTATACAAAAGTCAGAATTGTGAGACAAAGTGAGAATTAAGATATAAACTCGCATTTGCGAGAAATAAAGTCTGAACTGTGAAATACAAAGCGACTACCTTTTTTTAAATTCTGTGGCAGAAATAAATACTACACAACTTTTGCAAGACTTTTACATGTAGATTATACAATAAACTCATTCAGAATTTTAAAACTAAATGTGAGCTCTCTGAACGCTTGTGTGAGAGATAAGGAGATCCTTCTTTTTCTTTTACTTACACAATTGACTTCACGATGCTTATTTTATCTATGCTTATCTGTCTGTTCCCTGGGAACTGGAGCCATTGTTTTGCTGTAGACTTTAAGGTCATATTTTGTCTCATTGCTACCATACTGAGTATATGTCAGGTTACAGAGTTTGCATCCAAAAGAAAGCTTTCTATGGAGACTTAAGACCAAAAGCACCATTTCACTATTCCACACAATACAACGAACTTCTATTGTTCTTGTAGCACAACAAGTACAAGGAAAAGAGTCAGATGAACCTCAGAGCGTCCAGAGCACCATTGTGATTTCTTCAGTCTGCGGGTCTCTTGTCATTTTGATCACAATTGCTGCAGCATATGTGGGAATTACTTGCAGAAATAGACATCAGATCAGAAGTAAGTCCATTTTTCCCCTTGTGACCTAAATGTGTTCATTGCAATTAAAATAAATAGCAGCTTACAGTAACAAGTTCATAGGCATAGTATGTGAACTCTTCTTGCACGTTGATGTTTGTTTAGAAGCTCTAGGTTACATCAAAATGAAATCTGAGCCTATAATCAGCATTTTAAGAGTGATTTATCATGTTTTTCTCCCTTTGCAGGAACATTCATTGCAACATCAATGAGGAGCATTTAACAGCTGTCAATAATATAGTGACCTTTATCACTGTTTTTTAGTGGCTTTTCATGGATGGTAGAACATGCAACAAACAAAACAACAAAATGCACACGCCTGAACACGCCATGCAGTTCTTATGTGGGTGACCCATTTCACTTTTTGATCCAGCACAAACATTTTCTGACACTTCTCCACTATCTGACTTATTAAAAGGTTACATCACCACTGGCAAGAGGGGTTTTTAATAAAAGTTTGTTATGCAGTAAACATTTTATTATTATTATTATTATTATTTCAAATCGGTGCTACACGACTAGAAAAAACAAAGAAAAAGGGCTGTGGCAAAAAAAACAAACAAAAAAAACACCAATAATGTTCTCGATCAGACTATACTGAAATACAATGTGTAGTTTTCTCAAAATCCCTGGATCTGTCCAAAGTCTGCTGGATGATGTGTTTTATGTCCTCTGGCAGACTTTTGCTGACAAATAAACTGATCTTTTGGTGCAGGTTAAAAGAAAAATGATACACATTATTCATTTATTTCTACTACTGACATTTGTAATAATACAAAGCTGGTTGAAAATTGGTGAAAATGCAACTGTGAATTGCCAACCAATGGCTATCAACCATCCAAAACACCCCAGCAACCACATAGCACCCATCCTGAACACCATCGTAAGCACACAGCAATGACTTAGACACACCTAAACTAGCAACAACTCACAACTCCCTTGCAATCATCTGGCAAGCAGAGTACCGTAGCAGCCACATAGCAACCGCCTAGAAATCACCCATAACACCCTAGCAACTTACTAGCAATCACCCAATAACACTCTTGTAACCACCCAAAACACCTTAGCAACACCCTAGTAACTGTCCAGAACACCCTAGCAACCACCCATCTTTTAAAACTACTACTTAATCAAACTTTTAACTACTTAAAACATTAAAACCTTCGGACTTAAAGCTATTAAATCTACTTTTTT